TCTTCTGCTAGTTGGGGTTTAGTCCACTTCTGTATCTTTCCCTTCAAGGCTCAGGGGTCCAGGATTATCTTCTGTGTCTGTGTTAATTGGTTTTCCTTTTCTTTGTTGAAGAGGGTCTGTGCAGTCCTTCTGCCTAGTCTGCCATCTTGCAGGAACCTCTTTTTTTAAAAAAAAAAAGAAAAAACCTATTTGTTTCTAAACACTGTGGATCAGGCAGAGCCTGTTACCTGCTGACTCTGCCTTCCTTCTCTAAGAGGAATAGCAGTCGTCAGTTCCAGTGCCACCCCTCTTCTCTCCCTATCTCTCTCTCTCTCTCTCTCTCTCTCTCTCTCTAGCGCGCTCGCGCTCACACTCGCTCTCGCGCTCTCTCTCTCTCGCGCGCGTCTCTTTCTACCTTTTCAAAAGCAGACGGCAGAGAGTTAGTAAGCTTAGCAAATCTTAGATTCTGTGCAAGATCTGCTGTTGCTGATGGGACTCCCTAGTGGTAGAGGATTGGTCTCCTTGAGTCTTGCACTACTTTTGTGCCTATCCTGACAATGAGGAAAGTGTCTCCCTTGGCTGCAAATGGATTTGTGTTCAGTATAGTCATTTCTACTCATTTGCTCACATACTTTCAGATGGAGCTGTTCAAATAGAACCATGCCCATGCGTTTCATAGGTCTTCTTTTACAGGGTTAATTTGTTCTTTCCTCTTAATTTGACCTCCACATATCTTTTATTCTTTTCAGATAAGAGTTAGAGCCACGTGTCCTGAAGGGACTGAAGGTTGTTGGATTTTGAACATCAGCATTGTATCACCACATCCCGGCTCCAGTGTGGACGCAGAGAGAGTGCGACAGAGTATCTGCCTGTGAACCACCTGGGGTTATCCGTGTCCCAGTGTGCCCAAAGCGGGACTAGTTCTTCACAGTCTGGCAGCTGCACAGTCTGTCAGTGAGGGAATATCCATTCTCTCACCCTACTCTCCTCACTATTGGAAGCTCATTTGATTCAGAACAAAAACCAAATGTATAGAGCTTTGGGTGTAGGATATGAAATTGTACTTAGACTTAAGAAAAAGAAAAAAATCAGATGTATTTATTTGACTTCATTCCATATTTGAAAGCACATTTTAATTTTTATTTTGCCTTGTTTTGTTTTAATTGAGTAATGAGCCCATTGTATTTAGTACACCCAAGGATCAACTTGCTCCTGAAGCAAAAAGTTGTGGATGGGGTTTTAGGAGGCTGGATAGAGAGGTGAAGAAGATGAGGAAGGGAGAAGAGGGGAGGGAGGGAGGGGCATTTTGCCTTCATTAAACTGTATTCCATGGTCTCTGCTGTCCAGTAGGCTGCTTCTCTGAGGGTCACCTCAAAGGCATTGTGTGCTGTGTGGCTCTTACGTGCAGAGGACTTGAGAACTGTGTGCTGCCCAGGTTGTCAGGGAGTAGGTCCTCCCATGAGGCAAGAACCTCTTCTCTGTAGCTGGGATCAAACCCTCCCCCCTCCCCATTAACAGGAATCCTCAGTGTGCTAAATAGCCAGGCACTTGAAAATGGGTATGTTTTCTTCTGTTGTCTTCTTTTCTGTTGAGGGTTGGGATTTGGGAGGGAGAGGAAAGCATATTTTATTTTCTTGACTAGAAATTTGTTATTCTTGGTATTGTTTCATTTTTATAATTACACATTAGACTTTGTCATTTGTGTAAAATTTTCCCTGCAGATTGAGCAGGAAGTAAATCAAACAAATGGAAATGCTTCAGATGGTGGAAGGGGTGGGGGTTGCTAAGGAAGGGTGGGATGGGAGCGGGTAAAGAGTTTGGGAAGGTTATGTAACTGAATCACTACTGAGTTAAACCATGGCTATAATTAGCCACGGGTACTGCTGATTATAAGGCCAGTAAAATTTTAGTACCTGGAGGTTTGACTCTTAATGTTTGCACTGATGGTGCCAAAGGGCTCTCTGAGTCAAAAGTAGAGCCAAGGGTAGAGTGGAGAGAGAGGTGGAAAAGGCAGAATTGCTCAAACCTACTCCAGAAATACTTCCTCTGCCTTCACTGCGACAGCTCTTTGCACACTGGTGCATGGCTGACCTTCAACTTTGCAGACCAGAACATACACTGGATACTGCAGGCAAAGTGTTGGTAACTGCCTGCTCTAGAATGAATGATAGTTATTGGCAGCACCCTGCAGAGAATTATTGTTTCAGAATTATAACTTGAGAACTCCTTCAATTATATTGGCATTCTGTGGTTTTCTTTGTGCATCAGATGTATATATTTTGGAGTCTTTCTGCCAACTAAAACCAAATCATTTGTCAATCTGTAAATTCTGTTAATATACAGGAAGTTCATCCACTGCTCACATCTTCAGTAGTGCCCTCTGATCTCTGTGGGTTAGTCTGGATGTAATTTGTATTCTTCCCTACAGTCCAAAAAGATTTTTTTTTTTCCTATCATAAATAGTTAAGGATTCCCAAGTACATTTATAAAAACCACTGCTATTTAACAAGCTCATCTATGTCCAGATTGCTGTTTCTATCTTTTCAAAATTGATCTGTGTTTTCAGATGGATCCCCTTGGATCTTTGGACCTCATCTATAAACTAGAATTGTCTTGTGAGTTGTAGACCAAATATAACTTAAATCAGAATGAAATTTAAAATTTTAGAAGGAGAAGCTAATATGATAAAGCTTGGGCCCTGAAATTTTCTGTATCTCTTAGGAGAAGCAAGTAGAAACCAAATGGTTACACTGTGCTGCTGTAAACAATGTAGTTATTCCCAACTAACAGGGTTACACCGGTTGCCACTTGACACCAGCCATCAGCTGGCAATTAATCAGGAGAAAGTAAATATAGTAGAACTTTGTCTTTACTTCAGACACTACAGGGTAATTACATAATTCTGTAGTGCTTAATTAAGAAGCTTGTGGGTTAACAAAGATTTTGGTTCTCTTAGCCAGTAACTTGGCCTTAGCTTTTCTTTTCATGCAGTTTAACCTCCCCTTTGGAACAATAGCAAGACTAAGTGGGAAAACACTTTGACCATAGCTCTAGTACTTCTGACTAAATTTGTATCTCTTTTTTTTTTTTTCAAATAAAGTCCCAAGACCAAGTTAAATTTGGAAAAGATCCCACAATTTTGAGTGTTTTTATCTTACTAGCCTAAGGTCTTCACTCCTTCCCAACCTGGCCTCTCTGACCTTTCATTTCATTTTGACCATTACAGGCACATCCATTTTACTTTGATAGTTGTATCTGTTTTTCAGGATGATGGCAGTAGATATTGGTCCTGTCTTTGAGTAAGACCTGTTACTCTCAAAGTACTTCTCTCAAAGATACATGACTAGAAGTTGGAATCTACTTCCATTTACCAAAGGATACAAGGGTGATGGACAAAGCAATCTTCCCAGAGCAAGAGAGCTGTTTTTTGGCTATTGAAGTGGCCTGCTGTGACACTGTGCTCTCTCCTGTGGGCTTAATGGCTCCTCTGCTGTTAAGTGGCAAATTATATTTGGAGTGTCTCCTTCTACTTCGGAGAACAGAGTTAATCAAGGCAAATCAGCAAGCCCCTAAAGTGCTATAATTTAAAATCATGATTACTGTCCTGGAAGCCATGTTTTGAATACTTTAAAATCAGCTAGCTTGGACTACTTGAGTTATGTTGGCTTTTTAGGATCTAAAATTTAACTAACTATTACATAATAATAAATAGCATTTTGGCTTTTCTGTGTCCGTCCCCCC